AATAAAGACAACTCCTATGGCTCCTGCCGGTTGTCATACTCATCGACATGCAAGTCGTGATTCCTATTACAAGAACATGATCATCTCATACATCACATATATCATTCATCACATCCTTTGGCCATATCACATCACAAAACACTTGCTGCAAAAACAAGTTAGACGTCCTCTAATTGTTATTGCAAGTTTTTACGTGGCTGCTATAGGTTTCTAGCAAGAACGTTTCTTACCTACGCCAAAACCACAACGTGAATTGCCAATTTCTATTTACCCTTCATAAGGACCCTGTTCATCGAATCCGATCCGACTAAAGTGGGAGAGACAGACACCCGCCAGCCACCTTATGCAACTAGTGCATGTCAGTCGGTGGAACCGGTCTCACGTAAGCGTACGTGTAAGGTTGGTCCGGGCCGCTTCATCCCACGATGCCGCCGAATCAAGATAAGACTAGTAACGGCAAGTAAATTGACAATATCGACGCCCACAACTACTTTGTGTTCTACTCGTGCATAGAAACTACGCATAGACCTAAATCATGATGTCACTGTTGCATCTACATACCCTTGTAGATGCACTCTCCTTCCCCTTGTTGCTAGATTACTCCATAGATTGATCTTGGTGATGCGTAGAAAATTTTGAAATTCTGCTACGATACCCAACAATGAGTACCTCCTTGGAGAGGGTGCTGAGCAAGTAGCCCAACACCTGTTGATCCTCCCGGACCCAGATTGGGTGGAGAGGGTTGGGCTCAGAGCTTTCTTTTCCATCCTTGTCCTTGGTGACATGAAGCCTGGCCGGCTCCGGTGTGGTGCCGTCGACGTAGCCGAAGACGTCGTCGCCGCGCAGATGAGGAGTGACCTGCATGCGCCAGAGCACGTAGTTCGTGCGTGTTAGCTTCTCGGTGACCTGCCCATTGAGGGTGGTGTGGGAAGCACCGGAGGAGGAGGAGGAAGACATGGCTAGGCTCGGTAGATGGGATCTCAGTAGATGGGAAGAGATGGGGCTCTGATTACCATGTGCGAACTAGCGGAACGTTTTGCCTTCTCAGGCCGATGACTTCGTGTTATATAGATGGGGCGCACCTCCCATAACAGCGCATACATACGGTTGAGATTACATTCTTGGAGATAAAGAAAGGAGGTAGAGATAAGAGGTACATGAGATAAACATTATACTCTAACTACCTAACCAACTCCTATGATGCGCCTGTCATGTAGATATGTGCCGATCATGTAGATATTGACGTGTTTAACATATGTGTGCCAAACAAAAGGGAAAGAAAATTGCTCTTCAACATGGCATGTGGATGTTTAACAAGGAGTTCTGATGGTGCTAGAAGATTTTGTTGAAATATAGGTGGGCTTTAGGCTCATAAAACAATTTCAGAAATAACTTTAAATGCCGATGTGTGTGTCATGACAAGGAAGGTGGTGGGAGGTTTAGTACCACCCAGGACAGGGAGTGAAGAAAGTTATTGGTCTCCTTAAAAGAGATCCTCTTCCACATACTATTGGAGCATGAGAAGAGGAGTGATTCTCGCGCGCTCCTCCTCCGCCGCCCGCCTCGTGTGCCATGTTTAATGAACAAGTCGAGCTCAGACCTATGTCATGCATGAGCTTTTTGCCTGTCAGCAACAAATAATTGATTACGAGCCATTAACGGACCCGCGACGAATCTAAGACGCTGGATCTTGGGTTGTTGCCAACCCAGGCGTGAGTTCAGCCCACGTCTCCCTACCACGACCAACTATATATTTGATGCGTCGGCAATCTTAGTCGTCACCCAGATCATATTGCATCTGCTCTACCCCCTCGTGCATAGGCCCAACACCATTCCACTCGATGTTGTTGCTTCCAGCAATTCTATCCCGTCCACCGTGTGCATGGTTGTACGAGAGAGCAGACCTCCAAATCCCCCGCCCTTTGTGATCCTGCACTAGGAGAAGGACGATGTTTTGGGGAGCGACTGCTCGCCGCTGTTAGTCTTTGTCCACTACTTCGACTACGTCATTGTCTCCTTTGACATCATCATGTCCACTGAAGCCGAGAAGAAAGCTGCCGATGAGACTGCCGCCGCTGCAGCGGCTATGACTTGGCCGACTAGAGGGTATAATTCATTTATCCCGCTCCTGTTTATTTTATATTGGTTGTACTATCTATTTGTGTGGATATTTCTGCTATATGTGTAGTACGTGAATACATGATAAGATATTAGTATGAGTTCAATACTGCCAATGCCATGTATGATTGTTTTCTGGACTAGAATAGTGAAAAAAATGCTAATTATTTCAACAATCCAAAAACCTAATGTTTGTAGGCAATTTTTGATTTATGGCTTTGTAACGAAATATGGAAGGGAGAAAGCCCACAGTCCCTACAATGTGAATGTGAATGATAATCGTGGGCGAGTCGATGCACGGCCAAGGGAGGTTCCCGGTGGTGGCCTTGGTGGCTATCTCCGGAGGACACCATGGTGGATTTCGCTTAGAGTGACGAGTGGAGTAATTGTTTTTTGACAAAGGGTGAATTTTATTGACAAAGAGTGGATCAGTTATTAAATTAGATCTGCCATCAAGACAATGACTAGAACACCACTCTGTATCTGGGGTGAAAACATGTGATCTGACGTGCACTACTTGGAACCGGCAACGATAATCTTGGGTTGTCGCCTTGTTGAAGGTGTTATCTTTGTGTTGGTGCTCTAGCCTTGGCTGGTTTGACCTACCCCACTTAAGTGTTCATTCCTTCTTGAAGGCATTCAGTGCAAAAGATGGTCACTTAGTCATAGTTTTTTTTAATATGTTGACCTTTCTTGGTCATTTCATGCACTGTTTTATTATGTGTTCTTGTCTTCATCACATTACCTTTCTTTGATACTCCCGCTGTTCCATAATTAGTGGATATTTTTAAAAAGTCAAACCGCACAAACTTTGACCAAGTTTGTGAAGAATTTTTTTACATCTAGAATACAAAACATATGTCATTAGATTCATCGCAAGACGTAGTTTCATATTTCATATATTTGGTATTGTAGATATAAATAGTTTTCTTTAATTATAAACTTTATCAAAGTTTGCAAAGTTTGAATTTTCAAAAAATCTATACACACTACACTATGGAAGAGGGGAGTAATATATTGGTTGTGTGCATCCTAAGATGCAAATTTCAAGAGGTATAACATTCTTGTCAGAAAAATAATGATAAGAGAAACACTGAATCCGAAGCACACACAGTTGGACTAAACCGTCCCGGATTTGCTACAGTGATGTCAATGCCAGATATGCTACAGTGGTTAGCAATCGGTAGTTAAACGTGATTCTCAGGCAGGAAGATAGCTCAGCGACAATGGTCATCGTTGCCCTTATGATGGAATACATGATGTTTCATTTTACGTGCTTCAAAGAAGCAAAGCACCGTAAATAATTTGTTGACCAATACTATATAAGCATGTTGTGAATCGTTCAGGCAATCGACTCTCTAGTAGCGACAAACTGATAACAAATTAATGCATAGTCTCGCCGTTTTGAATAATAACCTACGTCTGGTTTTATACCATCATCAGGAAGTAATAGATTCATAGGTATCGTGCTATTCACAACAAAATGTTGTGAGCAACAGATGAACTTGATTTACCTAATCATCACGCATTCACGCACGGCAGCCAAAATGACATTTAATCTTTCTTACTTGAGTAAAGCTACAAGAGCAATATACCATCAATTAACACAAAAGCAGATATACTCAGCGCATGAATACTAATACTACATTGGAAATGGAACACATCACCAATGCCGCATGGATAACATACACAGAGATCCCTAAATAAGCTTTCTCCTAACATTAAACATGTCCAAGCAGCAATCTTTCCCTAAGAATGTATCATCTAGCTACTAAACACAGCATACACAACGTTCGGTGATGGATGTTACATGCTGATTAATTTTGCAAATTTGCTGGAATGCTCTGCTGTGAATCTATCACCTAGAAAATCTCCACGATTTGCCCTAAAAACGGGATACAGTAAGTTGATCACGAAACTCCATCAGACCAAGACATCTCCAGATTTCCCCCAAAATGAGAGTTCTGTAAGCTACCGCCATCAGCTTCCTAATTGATTACCCCACAAAAAAAAACTTCCTAATTGATTATAGAGCAGCATCTGTAGTTCTGAGAAACCTGAAAACAAAAAGAAGAAACATTAGGCACATTTGAGTAAACACGTCAACAGAATGAGCGATATGGAAAAACAGCAAAACGAAATTCAGTAAACAGAAACGCTACTATAATCCATCAATGTGCATTTCTAAAACTGAAATAATATAGTGAAATATCACCTGGTCACCTGGATAACACGTTTATTTTCTATCCAAGGCCTGGCTGTAGCATAAAATTAGACCGTGGTCAATTTTATTGAAGATCAAGCTTCAGTTTCAGGTTTTAATCAGCTGGTTATAATATTCAGGAAAAGGGAAGAAAACGGCCAACATAATGACAAGGCTAAATGTCCTTCAGATTCTAATACAGTGATCACCAGATGAACAAGGCTAGGCATCCTTTGTGCCTGATAGTTCTGAAACACTAATACACCTGAACGGAGGGATGGAAAGTTCATGTTGACACACACGACAACTTTTGGCTGTGTGGCAAGTTGCTGCCAGATGAATATGAACGGAATACAAAGTTCAGGTAGCACTCAATAACTATTCTATGGAGTGAATATGTGTTACTAGTGTTCCCAGAAAGCATTTCTAGCTGAATTAAAGCACCAAACCAGACACTATAAGCAATATGTTGGAAACTACACAGAGCCAGTTGAAAATAACTGCAGTAGTTGTTTTTTCAGTCCATAAACTGCATGAATTGAGTAAGAGAACTTGTATCAGGAATGCACCATCCTAAAATTGTGAATGGATCATACAACAATTTATCATTAAAGAAGCATGCATGAGCTAACACAAAGTGGAGAGAGATCATCAGCTGGAATTGGTACCTTCGTCCTTCCTATGGGATGTCTGAGCGAACAAGAAAATCTGCCAAAGTCTTGTTTTGCTTGGTGTTCATCTTGCCTGAAAAGGTTAATTTGATCAATATACTATAATTTGAACAGCAGAAACACACTAATGTAGCAAAATATATAACAGTATAAATTCATGTGCATCGCATACAAGAATTAAGATAGCGAGAAATATGATGATTAGAGCAGGTTCTCAAGAATTCAGCATCGTACCCATAAGCGATGTCACTATAATAATTAGAGGCAGATAGTGATTGAGTAGTGTAGAGGAATTATAAAAAGGGATACACCTCCTTAAGTTACTTTCTCAAACTAAATTATATAGATATGGAAATATAATGAAGAACATACAGTGTACAGTCAAAGCAACCAGAACCTTGTAAAAGTTTCTGTTCAAAATCACTACACCACCATGAAAATGTTTCAAGGGAACCCTCGATTTGGAAGTTTCAAATCAAAGAAAGGTCCCATTCTATTTGGATACTATTGATTACAGCTTACGGAATGATATATTGGTGGCTAAGAGAACAATGCATTGTTTGAACCCAAGAAAATAAACAGGGGCAGAAGTGGGATAATAATTTGTGTTTTGGATATGATTGATTACAGCTTATGGGATGATATCTTAGTGACCAGTAAGAGATCACTGCATTGTCTACAATCTTAGCCCACTCCATTGCAACTAAAGGCAGTACTCAAACACTTAGATAGACATGATTGCATTGCAACTAAAGAGAAATGGGTCACTGTGATCACCTGGAATCGGGCTTGATCCGAGAAATGAGGGGAGCACACATGGCAGAACGAAGCTTGAGATGCACTTGCTTGGATTGACACCACGCCCTAACTCCACAGACTCAACCTGTCTCTTCCAGCGCATGTCCACGCTTGCACAGAACCCTTTGCCCACAGGCACAGTGAGGTACAGCAAGTCGGCGCTGAGTGGATCAATGGCAGCAATCAAAGGCGACGCCTTGGCTTCGGGACAGAGTGTTCTCCACGACACCTGGTGCTCCAGCATCCAGCGGCCACTCTCTTCGTCCAGCGTGAACGATTTGATGCGGAAGGGCTCGTCCTTGGCAACCTCCACAAACCTCAGCCTGCCGTCGCTGACCCCCATGCGCCTGCGCTGGAGGAGCTGCCTCATCTCTGCCTCGCCCTGTTGGTCGGGAAGCATGACGTCTGCCGGCAGCTCGACGGGGCAGAGCTCGGGCCGGTCGCTGAAAGGGTCGACGTTGATGGCGCCCCAGCTCACGTCCACCCACCAGAGCCGCCCACCGAAGTCCAGCACCTCGTGGTTCATGTGCATCAGGCGCCCGGCCGGCAGCGGGGACGGCAGCAGAAGCTCGTACCACTCCCCGGTCTCCGAGGAGAGCCGGCGCAGCCGGAAACGCCGCCCCTTGTTGACCACGCTGAGCTGCGCGGCGGCGTACCTCCGGGGCGGTCCGCCGTGCCCGCCGTTGGCCTGGGTGAGGAGGCCCGTGGGGGCGGTGAAGGCGTCCTCCGCGCCGTCGAAGTCCGGGAGGCGGGCCAGCTCGCCGGTGACGGGGTTGCAGACGAAGCGCGCGAGCCTCATGGGGTCGCAGCAGGAGGAGCGCGCGTAGGCCTGGTCGAGGACCTCGAACGGGGCGGGGGACGGGACCTGGTGCTGGAAGATGCTGGCGGCGCTGGCGCGGTTCCTGAAGGTGCCGAGCAGGAGGAGGCCGTCGCCGCTCGCGGCGAGCACGCCGCTGCCGAACACGTTGATGAGGTTGTGCCCGGAGCCCGCCGGCTGCGGGGAGCCCTGCTCGCGGGCCGGGGCGGCGAAGCTGAAGAAGTTGACGGGCGGCCGGAGGTCGGCGCTGGCCGTTGTGGCCCGGAGCGGGTCCAGGCCGAAGGCGTGCCTGGGGACGGAGACGCGGGAGGCGAGCGGGGGCGGCGCGAGCTCGACGGACGCGCGCCGCGCGGCCGCGGACTCGTCCGCCGTCGAGATCCGGTAGACCATCGCCCAGGCGGGGCGCGGCGCGGCGGTGGAGAGGGAGCGGCGGAGCATCTCGCCGGAGGAGTCGGCGGTGGTCGATTTGGTGGTGGTAGGCTGGTAGGGGTGGCGAAAGGGGAGAGGGTTTTGGAAGTGAATCGGAGAAGCAGAGGATGGGGGAGTGGTTGGTTCACATGGACTTGGTTCACGCAGCTCTGCCACAAAGGCTTTTTCATAGGCTTTTCCATGTGCGTTGAGTGGACCCCACCTGTCGGTGGGTCGAACTGAGCAGCACGCCTTGTCTATCCGAACGTTATGGAACGGTTATTCCGGAGCTCTCCGGTGAATAGACACATTTGTTTGTTTTTCAAAAAAATAAAAGACACAGTTCTTCTTTTCAGAATTGGAAGATTGAGAGCGTCGACCTGTTGCTGCCAGCCCATCCGATTTTAGGTCCTGATTTAGACGCGTGGTGCTCGCGGAGTTTCTTCTAAAAAAATGCCTACTAGGTTCGCCCTTGGATTGGTCTCATTTTTTTTTTAGAACTAGAAGATTGAATACACCTTTGGTCATCAGGGTAGTTCAACAATCTTTCATGCCTCTTTGGGGGAGGCTTTCTAATGAAAGACCTGGTTTGTTCCCGAGCACATTGACATGAACACGACTAGTGAAAACACTCTTTCCTTTTTTTTCTTTAATATATGATATGCACATTCGTGTATATTCGAGACATGAACATGACTAGAGCGGGTACAACGGCATGCTAGGACCGTTTCATGGGTGGCACGAAACAAAATCGATGGTTTCTACGATAGGCCAAGGCCTTGGTCGGGATCCCAATTTCTCCCTCCCCTACCGCCAAGCTAAAAACTTTGTCGTGCATCCATTGTTGCTGTCGTGACGCCAATGTTCTCATCTTTGCGACGGCCTCCTCCTGCTCGGCAACGCCAGTGCATGTCTCTTCAGGGAAGGGCTCCAAGTTTTCAAGTGGAAGACATGGTTTGGTATTGAGCACGGTTGACAAGAACACGGCGACTACTTCAAGATTACAAGAACCGGCACAAATATTGAACAGTATAACTGTAAAACAAAGGATTGCTGGCTAGATTAGTTCAAGTCAGTGCATCTAAGTATATCTAGAGAAGTTAATTCGCTGCAACCATTGTAAAAGAGTTCATACTGCGAAGCCGTCTTCTAGTCGCAAATACTAGCGGATGACATACAACCAATGATGGATCAATATATAGTACCCAGAGATACACTGACTGGTAGCTCGGCACACTTTTCATTTTGTGTGGTGTCTATCTGAACGAACTAGAACACCGGCCAGAGTCTTGCTTTCCGTGTTGTCCTTGCCTGGAAACAAACTCCTTTGATCAAGATACATGAACTTGAACAAAGTAACACAATTCAGAATATACTTGCAGTATATGTCTATGCATTGTATATAAGAATTCATCCCAAGTTATTACTGTCTTGCTTACAGAGAGCAATTTTATGCCTAGCCCAATAGTGATGATCGTTTGATTAATATAAATAGGATGGCTTTATCTGAGTTTGCCCACACTGATCAACAAATCCTACCATTGGGATGCTTTACACAAATTCTGTAGTAGATGATCTGCAAAACAACTTAATGGAAATGCACAGCACCACATGAGCCTCTAGGCACATCTAATCTAAATATATAATTTTATCATCTAACCATTTCAGCTGCCTCTGTGGGGAGGGGCCAGAAGTTTCAGGTTGACAACAAGGTGTTTTAGGATTGAAAACAAGAGTTCCAAGTGCTACCACCATTTTTAACCCAAGAAGAGAATGATAATTAGTAGCATGGTAATAATTTTAGATAAAATTGGCAGTGTATCTTACTCCCATATTGCAGAGTATAAGTGCAGGATATGTCTAGGCATTGTATGTAGGAATTCGTCCCAAGTCATTTTTGGCTTGTTTGCAGAGAGAGCAATTTTATGTCTGGCCCAGTAGTGCTAATTGTTTGGTTAATATAAATAGGATGACTTTGTCCGAGTTTCCACACACTGATCAATTCGATGACTTGCAAAACAACTTAATGGAAATGCATCTAGGCACATGTAAATGTATATGGGTGCATTGCATAATAGGTGCACATAATATGTGAACTTAATAGCAATTGAAGCAATGTAGCGATTACCTGCGGCAGAGTTCCGGCTGGATTCAAGCCACGGTGGAAGCACGCATGGTATGCACCCGGCTCCTCTGTCCAGAAAGCTCCGAATCACCTCCTCCTTGCTCATGTCCACGCCGATGCTGTGCCTGCCGACCTTCAGGTAGATGACATTGCCGTTCAGTGGGTCAAGAGCGACAATTTGTGGCGTCGTCTTCTCCGGCAAGGGCAGCCATGGGTGGTCTCCATCCGCCCAGAGCCGGCTGAGCACCACGTGGTGCTCCAGCGTCCAGCCGCTGCCCTCGTCGTCGAGCGTGAAGGAGCTGAGCACGAACGGCTCCCGGCTCCACACCTCGGCGTAGCGCAGCCTTCCCTCGCTGTAAGACAATAAGTTTTGGGGAACCAGTACGACCCTCTAGGGGTGGCTTATCTCATTATATATAATGGTTGTGTTACAATATGTACCATATACGTACATAGGTACAGAAGCTATACATAGTCTAACATCCTCCCTCAATCTTAGCCACTTTCTAAAGAACTGAGAAGGGTAAGATTGCGCCTACAAGCCTCATACTGTGGCAGCGGTAAAGGCTTAGTGAAGATGTCTGCAAGTTGATCCTTAGATGAGATAAACTTGATCTGGAGTTGCTTCTGTGATACACGTTCCCGTACAAAGTGATAGTCAACTTCAATGTGTTTCATTCGGGCATGAAATACTGGATTTGCAGAAAGGTATGTAGCACCGATGTTATCACACCAAAGAATAGGAGGCTGTGGTTGAGACAAACCCAACTCCTGAAGCAAAGACTGCACCCAAATAATCTCTGCAGTAGCATTAGCCACAGCCTTGTACTCAGCTTCAGTACTGCTACGTGACACAGTAGCCTGTTTCCGAGCACTCCAGGCGATCAAATTAGAGCCAAAGAATACTGCATAACCCCCCGTGGATCGCCTGTCATCTGGGCTACCAGCCCAATTTGCATCAGAGAAGGCCGAAAGGACCCGAGAGGAAGTCGGCCGAATATGCATACCAAATGTCAGGGTGAACTGAACATAACGAAGAATGCGTTTAACAGCAGCCCAATGAGTATCTCTGGGAGCCTGAAGATACTGACAAACCCTGTTAACAGCATAAGAGATATCTGGTCTCGTGATTGTCAAGTACTGAAGTCCACCAACAATGCTCCTGTACTCTGTGGCATCCGCAGGAGACAAAAGCTCACCATCAACAGTTGTTATCTTGTCGGTAGACGACATGGGTGTGGTGGTCGGTTTGCACTTCAGCATGCCAGCTCTCTGTAACAACTCCAAGGAGTACTTCTTCTGCGTAAGGACAAGACCAGTAGCACGAGAAGTGACCTCAACTCCAAGAAAGTAGTGAAGCTTCCCAAGATCTTTGACCGCAAAATCAGCACCAAGAGAGCAGACAAGAGCATCAGCAGCATACTGAGAAGAGCTGACAAGGATAATATCATCGACATATACCAAAAGATACATAGTGACTTCTGGCTTCTGTAGAAGAAATAACGAAGTGTCAGCAGTAGACGGCACAAACCCATGAGCACGAAGGGCAGAGGCAAGGCGGGCATGCCAGGCACGAGGAGCTTGCTTCAAACCATATAGTGCTTTGGAAAGACGACAGATATAGTCAGGACGATCAGGATCAGAGAAACCAGGCGGCTGTTTCATATAAACCTCTTCCTCCAAAAATCCATGTAAAAAAGCATTCTGCACATCAAGTTGACGAAGTGACCAACCACGAGAAACAGCAATGGAGAGAAGAAGCCGAATAGTGGTAGGCTTGACGATAGGACCGAAGGTGTCCTCATAGTCAAGACCATGACGCTGCCGAAAACCGCGAGCAACAAGTCGCGCTTTGTAACGCTCAATAGATCCATCCGAATGCTTCTTCACTTTGAATACCCATTTTGAGTCAATAACATTTACCCGTGGTGGTGGAGGAACGAGAGTCCATGTCTTGTTACGAAGAAGAGCATGAAACTCCTGCTCCATAGCCTCTCGCCAATGTGGAATGCGCAGGGCAGCCTGATATGAGCGAGGCTCAGAAGATGGATCCGCAACAGCAGCAGCCAAACAAGCAGCCAACCAAGCAACCGTACCATCCTTACGTTCCTTAGGTTTGAAAATGCCACTGCGACTGCGTGTATGTGGTCGGGACACAGGAACCACCGAGGTCGACGGAGCAGCCTGCAACGGGCTGGAGGACGGCAATGTTGACGAGTCAGCCGGTGACGAGGAGCCAGTCACGGTAGCCTCGGACTCGGTTGGCGAAGAAGGCCGACCCACCGGCGAAACCGGCAGAGCAGACGAAGCAGCTGGCGACTCCGGCATCACAGACCGGGCCGATGGCGAGCTCGGCATAGTGGGCCGTGGTGCGGCCGGTGTCGCGGGCCGATCCGCTGATGAAGGCGACGTGAGGACCCGAGCCGCGGGCGAAGACGGCGTGACGGGCCGAGCCGCAGGCGAAGACGGCGTGACGGGCCGAGCTGCGGGCGACTCGGCGGCCGCTGGCGAAACGGACCGAGCAGTGGAGATGCTCGGCGCGACGGGCTCGTCGGGTGACCATGCATGGGCACGCGAATCGATGCCATGCAACATAGGGTGATCGACGTGCCCACCAGAAGACGACGATGATGATGGTGAATCCTCCAACAGCTCCAAACGAGCTCCACGTCCGGTTCCTGCACCATGGTTAGGTAACAGCAAAGGAGAGTATGCAACATCATCAAATTGGTCAGAAGCAACAGAGGATGAATGCAGGGATGGTGGTTCGACAGTGGACACAGGAAGGTTGGCAAAGGGAAAAACATGCTCATCAAACACGACGTCCCGAGATATATAGACACGATTAGTGGGAACATGAAGACATTTGTAACCTTTATGAAGAGAGCTATAGCCAAGAAAACAC